TCCCGATCAGCCATCACGTTCTCGGACGCCGACTTTGAGGGTGTATCTCCCCACGAGGATGACCCCATAGTCGTCTCGGCAATCGTCATGGGGTACAACGTGAAACAAGTGTTAGTGGACCAAGGCAGTTCGGCGGATATAATGTTTTGGGAAGCTTTCGTTGGGATGAAGATTCCGACTGATCGTCTCATGCCGTACGCTGGTACGTTGGTTGGTTTTGCAGGTGATCAGGTAATAGCCAGGGGATACGCCGACTTGGAGACAATGTTCGACCAGGGAGACAACATGAAAACTGTCATTATCCGATACCTGGTGGTAAACGCACAATCATCCTACAACATACTAGTCGGTAGACCAACACTAAATAAGTTGGGAGCGGTCGTCTCCACGCCTCATTTGAAGCTGAAGTACCCTTTGCCCAGCGGAAAGGTGGGCGTTGTCTACGTCGATCAAGACGTAGCGAGGAAATGCTACGAAGACAGTTTGAGGGCGAGGCGACACCTATATGTGACACAGGCTGATAGGGGTGTTCAGTCAATAGAGTTGGATCCGAGAATGAATCATTTCGATACCCGACCAGCCCCAGCGGAGGATGTAAAGGAGGTTACCCTGGCCGAGGGGCAAATCGTCAAAATTGGTGTATCTCTAAACAAGGAAGACGAGGAAGGTCTAGTCACTGTGCTAAAGAGCAACATATCGGTTTTCGCGTGGAGTGCCGGAGATATGCCGGGCATTGATCCTGATTTCTTATGTCACCACCTCATGGTCGACCCCAAGGCGAAGCCCGTGATCCAGAAAAGGCGAAAGTTTGGAGAAGACAAAAGGAAGGCCATAGTGGAGGAGACGAGAAAATTGATGGCAGCTGGTCATATTCGGGAAATCCAATACCCGACGTGGCTGGCGAACGTAGTGATGGTACGAAAGAGTAATGGAAGTTGGAGGATGTGTACAGACTTCACTGACCTAAACAAAGCTTGCCCGAAAGACTCATACCCACTCCCCAACATAGACTGCCTGGTCGACGGCGCCTCGGGGTACGAGCTGTTAAGTTTCATGGACGCCTACTCCGGTTACAACCAAATCCGAATGCACCCAGCTGATGAGGACAAAACGGCCTTCATAGCCGATCAGGCTACTTGTTGTTACAGGGTCATGCCTTTTGGTTTGAAGAACGCGGGAGCGACATACCAGCGGCTCATGGACAAAGTCCTGGCAAAGCAGCTTGGAAGGAACGTTGAGGCATACGTGGACGATATGGTGGTAAAGTCGGACAGCTTCTCTCGGCATTACGCCGACTTGCAAGAGTGCTTCGACACTTTGGCGCGTTATCGACTCAAGTTGAATCCCGCGAAGTGCTCCTTTGGCGTCCAAGCAGGAAAGTTCCTCGGTTTCCTGCTGACCCATCGTGGTATTGAGGCAAATCCCGAGAAGTGCTCCGCGATCATCAATATGAGAAGTCCGGCGACGGTAAAAGAGGTCCAGCAGTTGACAGGAAGGATGGCATCCCTCTCTCGGTTCCTCTCCAAGGCGGCAGATAAATCGTTGCCTTTGTTCCAGTGCTTGAGGAAGAACAACCGCTTTGCATGGACAGATGAATGTGAAAAAGCTTTCGGCGAGCTCAAACAGTCTCTCACCTCGCCCCCAATACTCTCCAAACCGCAAGCCGGTCTCCCTTTACTGATGTATTTGTCGGCATCCGATAGCGCCATCAGTGTAGTCTTAGTACAAGAAAGAGGTAGTTCTCAACTGCCTATTTATTTTATTAGCAGGGTGTTGCAAGGCGCGGAGATTCGTTACCAAAAGATTGAGAAGCTAGCCCTCGCGATACTGGTTACAGCACGCAAACTGAGACATTACTTCCAGAGTTACGAGGTGGTAGTCCGAACAGATCACCCGATTAGGCAAATACTGCAGAAGCCCGACCTGGCAGGAAGGATGATGAAGTGGTCGGTGGAGTTGTCGGAGCATTCCATCAAGTACGAACCGAGAGGAGCAATCAAAGCTCAAGCGCTGGCTGACTTCGTAATGGAACTAACCTCACCAGTGGGGGAAGTTCGAACTGAAGACACACAGTGGATCCTGTCGGTAGATGGAGCCTCGAACCTTGGAGGAAGTGGAGCGGGGATTGTCTTGGAAGGACCGGGAGGAATTTTGTTGGAACAGTCATTGCGATTTGAGTTCCGGGCAAGCAATAACCAGGCCGAGTATGAAGCATTGTTGGCCGGAATGACATTGGCGAAGGAAATGGGGGCGACAAGCTTATCAGCACGAAGTGACTCCCAATTAATCACGGGACAGGTAGCCGGCACCTTCCAAGCAAAGGACCCTCAACTGGCCAAATACCTGGAGAAGGTTAAGCACCTTTCGGAAAATTTCCGAGAATTCACACTTAACCATGTACCACGAGAGCAAAACTCCAGGGCCGACCTGCTCTCCAAGCTTGCAAGCACAAAGAAACCAGGAGCTACTCGGTCAGTCATCCAAGAAACGCTGTCACGACCGAGTATAAACGAGGCGCAAGGAAATATCCTATTCATCCAGGAAGAGTTAAATTCTTGGATGGCACCATACATTGCATATTTGACTCGGGGGGAACTACCGGAAGACAAAAAGGAGGCATCGTTAGTGCAAAGGGAGTCGGCCAGGTTCGTTGTCATCAACGAAAGGCTGTACCGAAGGGGCTTTAGCTCTCCTCTCCTGAGGTGTTTGACCACGTCGCAAGCGCAGAGGGTGATGGACGAGGTACATAGTGGTATGTGCGGCAGTCATATCGGAGGCCGAGCTCTAGTGTACAAGGTCTGTCGCAAGCGCAGAGAGTGATGGACGAGGTACATAGTGGTATGTGCGGTAGTCATATCGGAGGCCGAGCTCTGGTGTACAAGGTTGCCCGCGCAGGTTACTTCTGGCCATCTTTGAGGAACGACTGCGTCAATTGGGTCCAGAAATGTGATGGATGCCAAAGACACGCTACCCTGCACCATTCCCCGGCTGAGCGACTACATTCGATCCTGTCTCCTTGGCCTTTCCACAAATGGGGGATTGACATTCTCGGTCCATTTCCGATCGCTGTGAGGCAACTAAAATTTTTTATAGTAGCGGTAGACTACTTTAGCAAATGGATCGAGGCGGAACCGGTTGCAACCATCTCAGCAGAGAAGGTCAGAGTATTTCTTTGGAAGAATGTGGTGTGCAGATATGGAGTCCCTCAGATGCTCGTTTCCGATAACGGGACACAGTTTGCAAGCGCGAGAGTCCGGGATTTTTGTAAAGAAGTCGGAATCCGAATGGCATTCACGTCCGTTGAACACCCACAGTCTAACGGCCAGGCCGAGGCGGCCAACAAGGTAATCCTCTCGGGCTTGAAGAAGCGTGTACAAGAATCAGGCGCTTCATGGGTGGAAGAGCTTCCCCGAGTACTTTGGTCGTACCACAAGACTGTTCACTCGACGACCCAAGATACCCCCTTCAATCTGGTATACGGAACCGACGCCATGATCCCGATTGAAATTGCAGAGCTTTCAGTACGCATTACCGCTTTTTCTGAAGAAGAATCTGACTAGGGAAGACGAATTGATTTAGACTTGATCGTAGAAACAAGAGAAAGAGCAAGAATAAATCAAGTAGCGACGCAGAGAATAGCAGCCTTCAAGTACAACACAAAGGTAAACCCAAGGCATTTTATCGTAGGCGACCTAGTTTTGAGGCGCGCTCAACTTACACAGATGAAGAACAAACTATCGCCTAAATGGGTTGGCCCTTACAAGATTGATGATGTGGTCGGCAAAGGGGCCTACCGACTTAGAACCTTGGATGGAGGCAGGATACCGAGAACGTGGAATGCTGCAAACCTACGCTTCTATTATAGCTAGACTTTTCTCCCCTTTTGTATTAGGTGCACTCTTTTCCTAACTCAGTATTTTTTCCCCGTAAAAATATGAGGGGTTTTTGCTGAGGAGGTTTTTAATGAGGCACCACCCTCCCCAATTCTAATAAATGTCATCTGACTGTTTCCCTTTCATGACCTTTTTCTCTTTACATGGATAAGAACTCGTGATTGTCGGTTAAATTCCGACTTGGCGAGTATAAATAACTCGAAGAACTCGTGGTTGTCGGTTAAATTCCGACTTGGCGAGTATAAATAACTCGAAGAACTCGTGATTGTCGGCAAAAGTCCGGCTGGGCGAGTATAAATAACTCGATTGAAAAAACTCGTGATTGTCGGTTAAATTCCGACTTGGCGAGTATAAATAACTCGAAGAACTCGTGATTGTCGGCAAAAGTCCGGCTGGGCGAGTATAAATAACTCGATTGAAAAAACTCGTGATTGTCGGCAAAAGTCCGACTGGGCGAGTATAAACAACTCGATTGAAAAAACTCGTGATTGTCGGTTAAATTCTGACTTGGCGAGTATAAATAACTCAAAGAACTCGTGCTTGTCGGCAAAAGTCCGACTGGGCGAGTATAAACAACTCGATTGAAAAAACTCGTGATTGTCGGTTAAATTCTGACTTGGCGAGTATAAATAACTCAAAGAACTCGTGCTTGTCGGCAAAAGTCCGACTGGGCGAGTATAAACAACTCGATTGAAAAAACTCGTGATTGTCGGTTAAATTCTGACTTGGCGAGTATAAATAACTCAAAGAACTCGTGAGTGTCGGCAAAGATCCGACTGGGCGAGTATAAACAACTCGATTGAAAAAACTCGTGATTGTCGGTTAAATTCCGACTTGGCGAGTATAAATAACTCGAATTCGACAAACCTGAGTCGCAAATCTCGGATCGGAATCCGGCCGTCTAACTTGGCAAATTTGAGTCTCCAGTCGGATCTTTGCCGACTAGCCGGTTACTATGAATTTTATAATTTTATTCAGAATGAGACCAGTCAAATTAATTTTATTCAGTGACAACAATGTATCAGTGCTTAATTGTAGGTTCAATTTACCGTTCGCCAGATCTTAAGCTTTTGATGATTTCAACCTTCCCAACCAATTTATTTTAAGAAGTTTAAGCAGATCAAGCTCGGTATCAGTTTCAATTCCCTACATGACTAGGATGACATATGGGAATGGGTAGCTCAATGTATCCAAAGTGACCCTCATATTTTTCCTATTTCAGAGGTACCACAAGTTTCCCACTGATTGAGTGAAGAATCGCCAATGAAGGCTGAAGCGGATCAAACGGTGTCAAATTTAAAACGTCCCCGATTCACAGAACGCGTCTTTAATTAAACGTTGAAATTTTGTCAGCATGCTTTCTAGTCGGTATTTGGGCGACTAGAGGGGAAGTTACACTTTCGGAACAAGAAAGACTAGAGGGAATTTTAACGGTCAAATTAGAAACTTTTTCATCATTCTCCCTGAGTCAGAATTTGAACGACTAGATTATTTTATATTCATTTTAACCTTTGAAAAAAAATTTGGCATTCTCTCTAGTAGGTATTTGGACGACTAGACGACTACAGTCGTTATCTAGACGACTAGATGACTTGATGTTCAATTCAAACTTTCTAGAAAATTCTGAGTAATTATAAACCTCCACATTCAACTTTCAACTTAGAAAAAAAATTTTGGTATTTTTCCTAGTCGGATTTTGGGCGACTAGATGGGAAATTCAACTTTTAACTTAGAAAAAATTTGGTATTTTCCGTAGTCGGATTTTGAGCGACTAGGTGGGAAATTCAACTTTTAACTTAGAAAAAATTTGGTATTTTCCGTAGTCGGATTTTGGGCGACTAGGTGGGAAATTCAACTTTTAACTTAGAAAAAATTTGGTATTTTCCGTAGTCGGATTTTGGGCGACTAGGTGGGAAATTCAACTTTTAACTTAGAAAAAATTTGGTATTTTCCGTAGTCGGATTTTGGGCGACTAGGTGGGAAATTCAACTTTTAACTTAGAAAAAATTTGGTATTTTCCGTAGTCGGATTTTGGGCGACTAGGTGGGAAATTCAACTTTTAACTTAGAAAAAATTTGGTATTTTCCGTAGTCGGATTTTGGGCGACTAGGTGGGAAATTCAACTTTTAACTTAGAAAAAATTTGGTATTTTCCGTAGTCGGATTTTGGGCGACTAGGTGGGAAATTCAACTTTTAACTTAGAAAAAATTTGGTATTTTTCGTAGTCAGATTTTGGGCGATTAGGTGGGAGATTCAACTTTTAACATGGACAAATTTGCCATTTCTTCCGCATCAGCTTTCTTACAAACGTACTTTTTTTTTTAACTTAGAAAATTTTCATCATTAGCCGCATACGCTTGTTTAGATTGAGGTGCAAACAACAAATAACTTAACAAGACATGCACGCAATATGTAGAGAATGAAGCAAGTTTTTGAAACACGAAAGTCAAAATGGGTTACACGCTTTAACAAACACAAAATTAAACAAGCGCAACAAACAGGAAAGTTGCAACATAGACTCAATCGTCTTCGGGGGGATCCACGAGTTGCCCATCGACGACCTCTTTGAAGTAGCCCATGCCCCCAATATCGAGATCAGCATACAGAATTTTTATTTGGGAAGTCGCCGCGTCGAAGCCTTGAACAAATTTCTTCATAGAATCCACCTTCGCGGCTCCAAGGTCATTTTCGAGTTTCTCGACCTCCAGCTTCATCAAAGACAAGTCGTTCTCGAAGACACTCGCGGCATCGGCCGATTTATCTCGAGCTAGGCGCGTCTCGGCCAACTCACTCTCCAGCGCCACCTTCTCGGCGATCCATGCTTGCTTCTCGTCTTCAAAGGTGCGGCGACCATCCAGTAACCTATCCTGCTCAGTAGACACCCACTTGCACTCGGCTTTGCTCCTGTTCAAATCATCCTCCAAGGATGCGATCCTTTTCCCCTGCAACTTAGTCTCCCTCACTAAGCCGCGAATTTTGTCCTCATTGATCAACGAAAGAGCGGAGAGACGATTTGTAAGTGACTCGACCCCCTTGGAGATGGTAAAAGCACTCATCTTTTCCAAGTCGCCTCGGTCACCCTCCAGCCAGTCGGTGCTCCGAAGGTGCACGCTATGGTTGAACTTCTCATCCCAGAAAGAAGGCAGGTTGCCGCGACCATCCCCATGGTCAACTGGTTCCCAATTCTCGCCAAGACATGCACTCAAGGTCCTCTCGGCAGACTGAACTTCCGTGTCGCCCTTGTCCATCTCCGTGGCTACGACCGTCTCTAAGTTAACTACCGATGTAGGTTTGTCGGCTTCGCGGCGACGCTTCTGCGGGTTCTCGCCAGCGGTTCTCGACTTCCCCACCGGACTATCGGTCTCCGCAACCTTCTCGGTAGCTGACTCACCCCCCCAGCAGCTTTGGAAACTTGCTGTTGTTTCCATAGTTTCATCATCTCCCGGTTGCTCATACTAGCCATTTTTGTTGCAACAATCAATCAACAAACAAGTCATGATACGAATAAAACGTCAAGCAAAGAAAGAAGTATTTAATCTTAAAAAAGTATACCTATGTGAATTTTCAATTCCTGAGGCCTATTCTCTAGATCTAGGAGTTTCCCCGTATTGAAAAAGGTTTTCAAATCTTCAATTTTCTTAACGTCGACCCGATCGCTCTCGGAAAGCTTCTCGGGATCTAGCCCACCAAACGCTATCGTTCTCTGGTTCCAGTACAAAGGGAACCCATCTAACACATCTTCATGACCCGGTAAACTACGCACTCGGAAAAACGATTTTTTGAAATCCTTGTAGGACGATTGAAACAAGGACAACAAACCCCGACCTGAAACCCCACTAACAGACACCCAGCTAGTACGTTTACTAACCCTACTTTCAAAGAAATAGAAAAACTTGTCTGCGGTCGGGGTTATTCCGAGCCCAGAAC